AAGTAGTCAATAGGTTTTCCCTAGAAACAAGGCTGCCGAAATCACATCACATAGTGCGGTGCTTCGAAAAATTAGATGTTAATGGACTGCAAAGTGAAGCAGCTGAGCTCGTCTGGCAGAAAGCCGAAGAAAGGTTTGTAGTGGAAGATGTGCGGAAAATAATTAAGGAGAACTTACTTGCAGTGNAGGATGAGTTTGCGCCTCTGAAACTGCGGAAGTCATTCGGTAAACCACCTTGGTGGAAGGCTTCCATTGGAAAGGCAATACGCCATCGTAACACCAGCTGGAAGCGATACCGAGCGGTAGGATTGCAGCTGTCGTGGTTGCGTTACGTAGAACACAAGAACGAGTCTTTTCGCGTAGTTCGAAGCAAAAAAGCGAAAATACGAACTAAATTTAGCTAAAAATACGAAGTCAAAGCACAAGAGGTATTATAGTTACGTGCAGTGAAAGAGAATGTTTAGAGATGAAATAGGCGTCATTAACCTGGAAGGCCATAAAATAGTCACAACGGACCAGGAGAAGGCCATAGTACTAGGGAGATACTTTGGAAGTGTGCTTAGGGAGGATAGAAGTTCGTTTATCCCATCTGGAGGGGGTCAGCAGATTCAGACTATAGAGGAACTAGTCGTAGCACCAGAGGATGTGCTCAGAGTTCTGTTAGAACTCAACGTGGACAAAACACATGGACCAGAATGGATTGATCTAGCCATTCTCAAACCACCAGCAGATTTCCTTGCTACACCCGTCAGCCTGATTTGCAAAGTGTCACTAGCGGACGGAGTTTTGCCTAGTGACTGGAAGACTACTACTGTGGTAGCACTTCACGAAGGTGGTCAGAAGTCCGACATGAGAAACTATAAACCAGTGAGCCTAACCGGCATCGTCTGTAAATACATGGAGAAGCTGATTAGGGAGCACGTATGTAGACATCTACTGCGTTATATCCTACTAAGTGGGGCGCAGTACGGGTTCCTAAAGCATAGATTCTGTCTCACTAACCTTCTGTGCCACCTGAATAAAGTTATGGAAAAGCTAGATGAGGGCCATCCAATTGAGGTTTGCTACCTCAATTTTAGCAGAGCTTTCGATTCTGTGAACCACAGATTGATCCTTCATAAAATCAAAAGCTTTGGGCTAGAAGGAAATGTGGTGATTCGGTTCTACGAGATTACACCTGCCCTAAAGAAGCGCGGTACAGTTTCCCGACTGCGGAAAACCTGGTGAAAACGGTGAAGAGTGCCATAGCCTCTGCGAATCCGAGGACAATCTCAGAGTTGGAGACACTCCTAGATAACTTCCTACTACAATACCGAAATGCCGCACATGCTACCACCAAGGAGAGTCCGGCAAAACTGTTCAAGGCCAGAAGTATTCGGTCCTCACTACGATGCCTAGATTTAAGTGACGTTGTATACTTCAGAGGAAACGACCTGAGACCATCGAAAGGAATCATTACCCGTAAGAT